CATGTTGAATGTTTGAAATAAACGAATATTTTTAATGGTATCTTACGTCCAGTCTTTATTGGCGAATTTTTTTCAGCTTACTACCGCATTACAACATGGCCGCCACAAAAAAAAAAATCAGCTTCTTCTTGTTTCCAGCACCTCTCGGCCAAATTTGCTTTGTTTTGGTTTTGATCTCACCCAATCACAAAGCTCGAAACCGATATCCAGAAATGGTTATGGCCCGAACCGGTGGGTAAATTGTTCCCAATTTTATTCAAACATCAGCGAAACTGTTTTGCCTGTTGGGATTTTGTGCGAGTTAAAAGAATTCTACTGTAACATTCTTTCGCCTAACGGCAAAAACAGTTACAAAAAGTGCCAAATATCTACAGATGTTACTGATCATAAACAAACATTAAGGTTACGTTTGAGTGTAATTACTAAATCGTTCTACAGGATCTGCAAGGGGAAATTGAATAACGCTATGAAACGTTGCAATGGAACCAGAGAAACTGTTCAATGCTTCCTTCGTCTTTCTGCTAACGATATGAATGAGGTTTTGTTATTATCATGGTCGTAAGGTAAATTTCACCTTTTGTTTTTCAACCCACCACCCTTCGAGGAAAGATACGACTACCCGTTAACCATAGGGACGCATAGCAACTCATAGAAAGAGCCAAGCTCAAAGTTGACGATGCTTAAATCGGCAGGAACTAACAGGTTATTGACGAAACAGATCAGAAACATGTTATTCCCTCTTTAAATTTCTTTACTTCTAATTGCCTGCATGTTACATCGAGATGATAATAATTTATAAAGGAAAAACTTGAGCCTGATCGCACATCATTGGGATCGATATCTTGCTATCATTGCCATTGTAACAGTGTAACTTGTCTTGGGGCTAACGTTCGTGTTGGCTGACAAACTCAAAGCATTTCTGGAAGCGAAGGTAGCAACATAACTTTCCTTCACACGATGGACTATAAGCCCTGCACATTCCAACAAGTGCCAAACAGCCTTTCTGCAAGAGAGAAGAAAGTTCCCATTAGTGAGTCAGTTTTTCAGTCTTGCTGTATCTTCGTGTATTTGCTTGCCTGCCCCGGCATCTGTTAGTCAGTCAATCTGTCTGTCACCTGTCCATTAGGTTCTCAGTTATTTCCAGTCCCTCGCGGTTTATTTTCTTGATAGGCAATGTTTTATACAAAATGAATAAAGAGGTAAGTTTCTAAAGAAACTGTGGTGCTGCGTCGGTGGGGGAGTATAGCAGGTAATTTAGTGTTAACAAATGAATTGAAAACGTGAATTAGCCACCGTAAAGGATAAAAAAGCTGACGTTTCGAGCGTTAGCCCTTCGTCAGAGCGATTGACGAAGGGCTAACGCTCGAAACGTCAGCTTTTTTACCCTTTACGGTGGCTAATTCACGTTTTCAATTCAGTTGTTAACACTAAATTACCTGCAATGTTTTATACCAGTTTTTCTCTCTCAGTTATATTTCACTTCAATCTTATCAACTGGATCAAGTTCTTTAGTACCTGCAAAGGGGTCAGTTTCGCGAGCAGTCCTGGGTGTCCCTCTGGCTTGTGATATTGAAGGCACTCAAAGAACTGGTCACCGCAACAAAGCTTTTGACAGGCATCTTTCCCCGACTTGATAAAGCAACGTATCCCTTGATGGACGCAAGGTTTCTGTAACAAAATAGCGTAGGACTTGAGCTTGATAAACTTTTAACGTGCGTTTTGATGTAAATTGTGTGGTGTTACTTATCAGAATAATAGTTCTGCAAAGGTTTTATAGAAAAGCAAAAGGGCGAGCAAAATCTCGATTATAATGTTTTTTACCTGAAGAAATTACTGTGGGAGCTTTTGCACGGTGATTTGTTAAATTAAACCTGCCACTGAAAATTTTTTCTGCCACAAATGTTGGGTCTAAAACTCACTGAGATGGGATTTCGCCATGAATTTTATGATATCAGACATAGGAGTTTAACAGATGGAGGAAAAAGCATCGATGTTTCCGCCATTAACAACTTCCCTCCATTGAGGTTCGCCCAGTTTTCAAACGTTCACTTGCAAGGTACGTTTTTCTACAAGCCGAAGTCGATTCTGTGCGATTCTAAAATTTCTGTGTTACGAGACTAATTGGAAAAAAGATCCCACTTTTTAAATTCATATGTTTGGAAAATACCAATTTATGGAAATTATATTAGGGAAACGACTAGACCCCGACTTATCTCGAGAGAGGTGAGAAAACCACAACACAAGTCTGGTTTCTAAAAATACATTGGTCTACATTGGTCAGGAAGGAAATATCATTGAGGTTTGACTAAAATGCAGTCGAAATGTTAAGTTTGTGTACTCAGAGTGAAGTCCAAGGGCCGCGTAATTCTGTTATATCTTAGGGCACACTCGTAACGGGCGAACTTCCCCTAGAGCGAAACCCTCAGTCACCAGAACACTGAGAACAGGACAAAATTTAGGTTGGGAACCGAAATTATGTAAGATTTTCCCCTTTGCCCTCGGGCCTCCAGAACACTATTTATGGACTCACCATCCACGGCTCGTAGAGATCTTTTGCATCATTGGCGTCACTGGCATCATTGGAGATTAACGGATTTAATGGCAAGTTATAGTCCCTCGCAGCTTTAGCCATTCTGTTCTGATGATCTCCTTCTAAAAGATTATAGAAGGCTTTGTGGAACACCAGTTGATTGGCGAACACTGTTGCAAAGGCGCTTAGAACGAGAAGAACTGTTAAAGCCTTCATACTGCCTGCAAGATGTGTGCAATTTACTGACACTGCGATGTCAAGACAATTAGTGTGTCTTATATAGGTTGAGGAGTTATTAGCTAAGTCCGTGCCGTGTTATTAGTAAAAGTCTGCAGGTAAATTGTATTTAGACAGCTTTGCTCACTGGATAGTTTTTAATCACAACAAAATGAGCGTACAGTGGTCTTGTCGATAAATCAAACATGAACAAAGGAATTTACACAGATGTTAAACATTATTAATAAGGACACAAAAGTTAACCCCCTCTTGACATTAAATGCTTGAAAATATATTAAATTCTTGAGGCTTGTTGTCAAGTGTTTTGTTTTCTTTTGCTTCCCACTGCTAAAGATATTGGTTTTCTTAAACTTGATGATTAATTTTTCGCAGTCCGTGATGTCTTGCTCTTTACAAAAAATGAGTGGACGAATATTTGTTTAGGCATTTAAGATCACCATAGCTGTTGAGGTTTTGACGACAATTTCATACTTATTTCTTAATTATTTCAATTTCTGCCGCCCCTTCCGATAAAAATTTTTTCTCTCTAGGCTCGGTGCAAGTTCCTTTTCGACCTCTGGGAAAGGATTCAAAGATTAAGAAGAGGAAAGGGGCGGACGTTTGTGTTGATACTGCAACACCACTCCAAACCAGCAATGAATCAACGTTTGCTCTAAGGTTTTAAGTTAGGGAGGAAATTATCTAAATATACTAGAAAACAGGGGTAAAATGTCTTCTGCAAGCTCAATCCAGAAATCTGACTCCCTGAAGAAAATATTGCTTACACCAGATGGTCTTTAAACAAGTCAAATTCCATGCGTGTATTTCAGAATTCGATTCCTGGTTGATACGAGTCGAAGCAGATTTTTCTGTTACTGATTAGCACAGTATCACAAAAACCCAAGTCAGGATGGCTTTTCGATGAAAACTATTCTAATCTTCTTAAACAAACATAATCATTATATAATTTTGGCAAAATCTCTGGATTTTTCCAAAAAGGTCTGGCTCTGTTCATCTTCACTTTATTGGAACAATTTAAAGTTAATGTAATTTCTGCCTCTCTCTTATTCCTTAGCTAATATATTCATAAATGTATTAATCTACTTTTTAGGACAAACTTTCTTTTGTTTCATATTTGCACAGAATTTTAAATAGGCGAGCAGCTCATAACTGGAAGACAAAAGGAAAAGCGTTGGTACTTAAGTTCATCATCTAAATAATCTGTAATAAAACTCCCCCCAAAAAATGTGATTACAAAGTCGATCACTTCAGCCTCTTAAGAGTGCTTTGCTTTATTGTATTTTTTTTTTATTTGCTTGCTATAATATTTGTTCTAATTGATATCCAACCTATTGTCGGCAATGGGCCATTTGTTCGCAATAAAGATCACACTTCTACAATGGCAAGTGTTTGCAAGCTTTGCACGAGGCCATGCGTGTTACACGCGTGGCGGTGTAACACATTAACCTCAGATGTAGTTTACCTACTTGCTACAGTTACAGACATTAGAAAAAAAAAAAAAGATGGTAATAAATGATGATGGATGAAAATTCTAAACCTATGCACTTCTGGTTCAGGAAAACCTGTAGTGACGTGTAATATTTTCATCACCCAGCTATTCTGTCAAGACATTCTAGGCACTCGGCACCTCTACGACTTGAGATTCTCCTACGGGGTTGAGATATAAAAATGCATCATTTTGTTTTTGTCTCAAGGACATATCAGTTTCGATTCTTCCACAATTTTCGTCTTTTTTCCTAAAAAACGGTATTAAATAAAAGAGTTGTTATTTCTTAGAAATTGACTTGAGATATCATCACAGCAACACTAGAACCTGTTAAAAACCTTTTTTTTACCTCTGTTTGCATATAACTCAAAATAAGAGCGTTGACACCCGGTTTTTATCTTTTTTACCGTGACCAGCATACAACAATTCATCTTCAGTTTGTAAGGTTTGTAAAATCTTATGATAAGTTTGGTCAGAGCCACTTTAATGTATTAAAAATTGAAGTTGGCTCCTACTCTACAGCTTTGTTAGAGACTTTGCAAAAAGGACAAAACTTGATATCTTGATGATTGACGGTAATAAAACTCGTTGCCATGGTGACGCTACATATCTAAGAAAACACCTTAACCTGTCCAGAAACGACTGAGAAATTATGTGATACCATTTTCGAAAAACCAGAAACAAGGAAAATAAATTATAATTAAAATAAATTGTAAAAAAATCAGTGGTTTTGAGCTTCAGAGGTTTAGGCTAGACAAGGGCAGAAATATATATACAACACAACTTTCGCCAAAGTATTAAAATGGTTTTTCCAAGACTAAAATGTTTGAAGTTTCCTGACTTGTTTATGTGTAAATCGAATTCCGAAAATATTCCAATTTGCTTCATTCGCTTTGAAGAAGGGCTAAAGCCCAGAATATCAGCCTTAGAAACTACTTACGGTAGCCAGTTTACATTTTTAACTCAGTTGTTCACACGAAATTATCTTCTAATACCCCCTACCGACACACCAACACAGTTTCTTTAAAAACTTACCCCTTTAATTATTTCAAAAAGAGTCTTTTGGGATTCTAAGCTTCTATTTTCCATATGGTATAATTACCCGTATATACAATAACTTAACAACTAAGATATTAAAAAATTGTACAAATTAAATAAATCTTACTAACAGGCGATAGTTTTTCAGATAGCCATATTGCATTACACGAGCAATAAGGTATCTACAAGTTTTAAAGATAGGCGGAAACAACTTTGGTTCATAAGAGAAACTTGGTTTTACATGAGCTTAGGCCAATTATTACATAATCAACGTGCTCTGTCTGGTTTCAAGTTCATAAGTTACCTAGTAATGAACAAGTGAGCGAAGGCATGGCCCAGATACAAATTAGATCTGTTGTGGAGTATGTACTTTTCTGTAACACGACTAACGCAAAATTCCTTAAACTTTGAGCAACCTCGAAAGCTGTTTTTCAGTTTTTGGCGAGGGATACACACAAATACATTAAGTCCTAAGTTTTTCTTTGTCAATCCTAGAAAGTTTTTTGAACCGCTAGAGACTTTCACAGTCCGAAAGTTGCTAAGAAGCTTCGAACTCAAAAAATAGTGCGAAGTATTTAAGAGCAGATTTTTTCAGTAAAGTTCGTTTTCTATGTTAGTGTAAAGATCTTAGGTAATGTTTTATGTTGGTCCCATGCCTAAGATAAACAGTGAACGCTGTATGTGTCTTAGTTGCCTAGACGGCTCGTTGCTATAAATAAAAAAATTCCTTCTAAGTGGAATTTTTAAAAGCGTAGAGTTTGTGAGTTATAAACCTGTACAAGGTAGACCATTGTTGTTCAGTGAGAACATACTGTTTCATATCAGAAAGCTCTCACGAAAGAGGGAGATCTTTACCCATATTGATGGATGTAAATCTTATCAAGATTCAGGAAAATACTACTTTGTTTTATTAAAAAGGCGCTGCACTTATCTAAAACGTTAATATTTTTAAAAAATTAAATAGTATAGGAGAAGGTTTACCTGAGGAGGGCTCTTAATTTGTTTGCTCTTTACAAAATCCGTTAAATAAATACTTCTTTACTCCGAGAAACTTAAATTACACCAGGCGCAAAATTATCAGCCCGCACAAAACTAGTTTCCTCTGACTAAACGTCAACACGAAACAAAAGCTTAGCGACACGGTGAGAAAACAGACTTTTTTAATTTAACACGAAAATAATTTCTTTTAAGTTGCTCCGCAAACAGGCGGTAGGCGGTAGAAAAGCTGTCTAAACACATCGAAGAGGCTTTTGTCTTCTCGATAAAAGATGCGCGAGGAACGCGAAACCCTCGCTTGAACTGGGTTCTATATAAAGAAGCCTGTGTATCCCTTTTCACAACGTGTTTCTAGAGCACTGAGACCAGGACGCGTCAACATGAAGGCAATTCTAGCTTTGTTGTTTCTCGCAGCAATTTCCGTCTTTGTTCAAGCAGAATGGGCGTCGGAATTCCACCCTCAGGCCATGTTGGAGTACGTGAGGGGAGAAGACCATGAAATGAAGAGGCAGCTTTATCATTTGGTGAAGATGGACAATGGCTTCGAGACAAGCTTCAAGCGTGAGTTTCAGCCGAGCGTCAGGCCAAGCATTCAACCAGGCTTGTTAAGAGTAAGTATAGAATCATACCCAACACAGTGATCAAACGTCGGGCATGAGTAAAGAGATCAATTTTTGCCAACTGCGCGCCAATTTCACGCCAAATATTTCATAGAAAAATATTATAAACAACTCCTGTCAGGCAAGATTTGTGAAAATAAATTGAAATCATAGAAACTTAGGTAAAAAAAGACAAAAATACGGAAAACGAAAACTCGACCCTTCTCTTTATACGGTTTTAAAACAAGTCACTGGCTTAAGCGTTCGTTTAAACCTCGACATGACTACATAGGACTTAGTTCTGGCAGTCTGACAGCAGCTATTACAACTTTCGCAGCTGCGCAAATGTTTGACGTATGTGTTATCGCGGCTATGAAGAGAGGATGAGGTAAGCTCAAATAAAAAGTAGGCAAAGATAGATGTTCAATTCGTCTATTATGAGATTGAAACAAAGAGAATCAAACCTGTCCCAGACAGTCAGTTTAGCGCACGAGCCAAAACGAGTGGCGGTTCGCGAGAGATTAATGTGAGTTAAGAGCATGGCAAAACGTACAAAGAGATCTGAGTTCCCGTTTGCGACCGATCTACGATCCATTACTGAGCCACAGAATGCTCGAAGGGATGAGGTTGTTCCCTTAAATTACATTCACTTGATCTAATTTTGATTAATTTTGTTGGAATGAAGTGTGTTGTGCAGTTCAAGAGATGTAAGAATGCAGCAGACAGCGCCTGTGAGGAATTGGGATGTCTCAAGCAATTTGGCTTGTGTCTCAAAAGTGCAGACTACGAACCTTCCGAGGAAGTGGTACGTTCTTGTTCCTTTTTATATTTTTCTTTCACTCTGTCGTTAATTTTCCCTCTCTTTACCCGGTTCTTGAAACATTGCAAGGAAACAGAGATTCAAGCGGTTTAGTGTTGGGAGTTATTCCCAAATTGAGCCTGTTTACAAGTTTTTCTCGCGTTCTCCCAACTTCCAGCGTGATATCACGTTGTAAAAACCCTGAAAAACATTACCTGTTGCTTAATAAGATGTTTAACTCTTTGCTCGCCTTTAACTTCCATTCCCTGCCCTCCCCTTCCTTAATATCATTTCAGTTATTTCAAAGGCCCTTACTAGGGTCACTCAATTTTCAAGATCCCCTAATTTTCATACCCAGTGGGCAAACCACTCCTTCCCCCCTTCAAACCCAGCGATAATCAATGAATGGTCCCCCACTGATGTAGATCCAGATTAGTAAAGTAAAACGTAGAATCTTAACTTTTCTCTATGATTGGTCCTTAAAAATCGTGCCATCCTCTCAACTAATCAGATGCAAAACTAAAAGCAAAAGCGACTTGGTCGATGGCGATTTTCTGCGCTTAAAGCGGTTTGCTTTTTTTCACTTTGAATCTAGTCATTGGTTAATCATAATGTAAACCTTCGCTCTGATGGATCCCTTAGATTATTTTGTTTTCAATTTTCGAAACTGAAGTGAAAACTGCTTTACAGGCCTTATGCTATTTATGCTAGTAAATACATTGAGGGCTGACTATTTTCTATTCTGCTTCGTCCTATACAGAAAAAGTGTTTTCCCATCATCCCTTGTTGTATGTTGATCAGCAAATCGTGCGAGGAAAAACTTTGCTGTGTGACACGATTTGGGGAATGCGTATACAAATTGCACATTGGAAAATTGCAGTAAAGAAAAACGACCCCTTGTCTTGGAAACCGGAAAAATCTAACAAAGCCTGCAAATTAATTGTAGTTTATATCGATATCATGTTGCCATCATGTAACAAGTGTAACATTAAAAGAGCCTGATTGTTATAAAAATGTGTCATTATGAATGATTTATGGGATTCCTAGTTCGTTCCGGGTGAGATAGTAGCTCTTTGGACAGAAGTATTAAGCGAAAACAACCTTAAAATGTGTCAGAGCTCAAAAGTCTGAGGCTACGTAATGTTAAGTCACGTTTATTGAGTTTTTCATTTGCTGAGTTATCGGTTCTCGACGCGGAAATTTCCTGTTTATCCGTCATAATATGAAAAAATAAACAAGGCTAAGAAGTCGCTAAAGTAATATTGAATATGC